TTGACTTTTGCCTATTTAGACGACCCAACTGTGCTGAATTCTTGCTAGTTCAGCCTTCCACACCGCAGAGGAAAGGGAAAAAAGGATTCTGCGACTGAAGGAGTAGGTCAGGGCACTTTATTTGCTTTCTTCTCTGGGCAAACTCTTTCCAGTTAAGAGTCACTGAAGCTCCTGGGTGTCAGAGTTTACATAGTTGCCATAGCATAAACCGAATTCTCTTCTAACTATGACTTGCCCTTTTATTATAGACTTGACTGGTGAGACTTCCCCCGTGTAAATGAAGTGCTTTATTTATTAACAGCCAGGCAACAGGGCCCGGGCTCGGCGCTGGCAAACACCGGTCCTGTGCTGGTAATAAAGGCATTCTCGGGGGGCAGAGCGCTAGCAAGGAGAAGGAAACGGTAGTAAACAAGGTGTTTTACATTCAGGACACTTCCTCTCTCGTCTTGAAGTGTGTAATTGTGTTCTGGATAAATTATGGAGGGGGAAAAAAAAAAAACAACACAAGTTGCTCATAGGGAAATAACCCTCTTTAAAAACAAGTAAATTTTCCGAGGCAGAGCCGGCAAGAACCTTGGCAAGAAATCTGGGTGTTGGCTGCTTCAAAAGTACAAGCTGTATGGGGCTGGAGAAGCTGACAGAAATGGGTTCAAACACCGGCTCGGCCACTGCTTTTCTCTGCTCTGTGTTCTCGGGTAGTTAATCTCTAAAGGACGCTGTGGAAAAACACCAGGGCTGTGAGAGGAAAAGGCACCCCGTGCCCGGCGCTGGACAGCCGCCCTTCCCGCCGCCCACTGCGAGGTGCCATTTCTCCTTTCCCATTTGCCCTTTAAGACTTGCCCCGTGGACCCCGCAGGTGGCCTTATTGTTGAGCTTCTAGTCAATGCTAGTGTGTTGCGTGATGGTATTTCAATAACGGTTGATCACAAAAATGAGGTTTCAGGACAGACGCCATGAGCTAAGCTAAATGAAGATTGAATTAAAGGGGAATTTATGAGCCCACTGCACCCCACCCCTGAGCCCACTAACCGACCTAGCAGAAATGGCCCTTACTGATCAGCAGAATAATTTGTATCTTCTTTTTTTGTTTTTTTTTTAAGGTAATAATCTTTCTCTTTCTTTTAATGAATAGCCTAGCAACTTCTAGTTTATCGTGGAAGACTTGCATGCAGGCATATTTAGGGCAGGTAGAAGGTGTCCAGTGGCTGGTATAAATTAAAATCCAGTTTGGTTCTGCCCCCTAACCCTCACCCACATATACCAATTAGCAGTCAAAAATGTCTACACATCAGACTCTGTTCCACCCTTAAAATAAATTACCTTGCTGTTAACAGCCTTATTGAATGGATACAGTGTTGTACCTCCTTGATTTCTTTTGCTCAGAACATGTGCTATTTCTGCCTTGACAGTGTATCTGCTAATTGAGTTTTAGGAAATTGGAAAGGGTTTTTAAATGGATTACTTAAGAAAGGCACCAAAGTTGCCTGTTTGTATCCCTTCTGCTACACATCAAATTGTGTTTTGTAACAACCTAATTGGCATGATATCTATTTCAAGGGGAAATTTATCAAGTCACAGTGCACTCTTCTGTTTGGAAGAAATATTTGAGGATGTGAGCAGAAATTATTTTTACATAAAGGCTTCAGGCAGTTAAGAGTACTGACATACATATCATATTTTCATCACTGTCATTCACTCCCTTTGCCTCAAATAAATAGGTCATTATTATTCCATCGCAGGCATCTTTTGGCACCTCGAAGTATGGAGCTCTGTTTAATATAACTGCTTTCTAGCTGACCCATATAATTTATTGGTGATTTTTACAGAGTGACATCCGTGGGCCGCCACCATCAGCAAAGGTGCTTTGATATCTTTTAGCAAAATATTTCATTATCACTTACAATTTTTTTTAGCAATAGTAGTGTATCCTTGTTAACACAGGTAGGAATTAGCATTTTCTGAGCCATCATATTTTAGGTTGATCTTTGCAGTTGCAAAAAACCAATACAGCCCCGATGGTGATGCCACCCTGGATGTGCTGGGTGGCCATGTGCTGGGTCCAGCAGCGGCCTGGATTGGCAGGTGGCCACAGTTGTCCCTGAATGATTTTAGGCAATAATGATACATCATTGTGATCTGTTGTTAATAGTACTTAACTGTAAGCAATAAAGGATATTTAGACTTTTTAAAAAACACAATAACCCTCTGATTTTGTTTTTTATTACCTTCACATTTGAACACACAAAGCTGTGTTGGTTCCTCTATTTCCAGCTCCTGTGCAAGTGGTTCACAGCTTTCCGTGAACATAGTGTTCAGAACAAAGTTGTATTCCCAGGAAATGGTAAAATGAAAGGAGGCAGTCAGGTCTGCAGGGGCCGATCTGACACCTGAGCCAGATGTGGTGTTCAGGCCTGTCACTGCAGGGAGTGGTCGGGTCCTGGGCTCTGAGTGTGGAAGGGAAGCTCACTTGTCATCCAACTTGCCTTTCCATTGGTTCCTTTCACACACCGGAGCTTCCTGTTTGTGTTGCTAATAAACTTCCTTGAGCTCCAAGGATATCTCTACCACTCAGTAACCCTTTGATATTCTGGCCCAGTCTCTAAGGCAAGTCTCATGCCTGCAGACAGTTAACAGCATTTGAATTGTGCAGTTTAATTTTTCCTGAATTTTCTCAGTAGACTTGGTTACCTAAGGAAATCAGAGTATTGTCCTTCCTGGACATGTTTTAATGAGGGCCTGAGAAACCACCTTGCTTGATGAGCAGGAAGTCCCCTTTCGTTGTTCTTTTCTTATATCTAGGAAAAACTGCTCCCCTCACTGGGTTCTGATTATGTCACATTTCCTTTCATTTTTTTCCCTGATCACTTTTCTCGTTCTATCATACTGTTCACTCCACTGAGCTTTCCCTGCTGGATCAAAGTAGGGGAAACGCCCTCTTCACTCTGTACGAGTCCTGCATTCTCATGCCTAGGTTGATTTCCTGGAGCAGGGATCTCAGGATTGGGTTTCATTTGGGTCTGCTCCTCACGCACCAAGAAATTTTGTTTATCTGTGGTTCTAATAATTTTTTTTTCTTTATCCTTCTAGTTTCCTCTTTTTAATCCCCTACCAGAGGCTGGTCTATTTCTAGGTGGATTTGGCTTAAAACCATTTCAACACCCCTTGTCGCACTTCCCCACTGTGTCCTGCCAAAAAAAGAATCCTGCAGCAGAAATATGATAGCAGGTGGAAATTCTCCCTGTACTCTAATTGCATCTCTATTTATGCTGTTGCTTTTTTTTTTTTTTTTTGAATAGTACTTATCTTTGACCTTTGTTGCTTAACGTGACAGAGGTTTTTTCAGGAGTGAATCTGTTACCCTGAGTTGCCATATAATTATGTGGAGCGCTTCGGGAACAGGGGCTGTGAACCGCATCGGGGTGGCTGTGTAGATACTCGGATTTGTCACCTGGAGAGGAGATGATGATGATGGTGATGATGATGATGATGATGACGACGATGATGGCAGCTACTATTTACTCAGTTCTTTTTTAAAAATATCTATTTATTTATGGATACAGAACTGGGGTACAGGCCAGAGGTGCAGGGGCAGTGAGAGGATTCACCAGAGACAGAGTAGGGAGCAGAACAGGCTGACTGACAGTACACTGCTGAGGGGAGCAGTGGACGGACCAGGAGAGGTCTGCTGCGCCATGTGGGTCACCTTCGGGGCAGGGATAGAACTCTTGCTGCAGTGGCTTTAGCTTCTCAGTGCTGTGCTTTAACCCGCTGTGCCACCAGGGAGGGCCCCTTTTACTCAGTTTTATGAGACATTGACATAGTGTTAATGTTTTGTATTTGTATTTTATTATCTTAGTCCTTAGTTCTGTGGCTGTCTGTTAATGGCACACCATGTTGCAAATGGGAGACTAACTCGGGGACTTGAAGTCATTTACCTGAGTCATTTACCGTATAGCTGAAACCAGTCTTTCTCTTCCCTTCCTTGATTAGCCATCACACCACCTATGACCTTTCCTAAGTTCATTGTTCTGTGAATGGGGACAAGGTATCAGTTTTCTCCCACATCATTGCAGTTGTTCAAGGACGATGTCCTATATACTTCTAACTCCTGTGACACTCCAGCTGCAGAAATCACCCTTCTACAGTTGCTTCCTCCTTTGTTTTTGAATTGGATTCTTCCCTCCTCTTACCTCTGCTGTGAATCATTTAAGACATTTATGAGGGACCCTGGCCATAGTCCCTGAGCTTAGAAGCAGATCTGGAGATAAGCTTCTCTCTCTCCATGGACTGCAAGCGTCCACTTTTTGGCACATTCCAGATGGCTTGAAGTGGGTGTGAGCAGACAGGCCATGGCTCAGGACAGCCTGGCATTGCGATGAGTCTCGTAGGTGTGAGTTTATGAAGCAGAGTAGCAAACAGAACTGTAAGCCTCCCTAGGATTTTCTTGAGATCTCCCCCAGGGTCAGAGTCAGGCGGATGCTCACTTCCACCGGTGAGTAACTGAGCCGCCTCTGTGTCAGGAGTGTCGGCACCCACTCAGAGACAGGGCTGTTTGCTGAGCCCTCCTGCCTGCTTCTGTTAAGTGGCCCCTTGAGTTCTCTGTGCAGTGACCAAATAGCTTAACTCAAGGGCATGTGAACTGAGGTTGAGTATCTGTGCCCCACCCCCCCCTTCCATGCTGTTCCTCACAGAAACCAGCCTTCTGACCTTTCCCTCCCTCCCCAACACATCTACTCCACTAGAATACCGGAGGCTGGAATGCTGGCCTCCCAGCCTTGAGGAGCATGCCCATTACAGGCTTAGTTGTACTTAGCCCCAGATTTTTCTGAAGTTAGTAATGTCGCTTGGCTGACGATGACGAAGGTACTTGAGCCCTGCCACGTGTGGTTACTGGTGTTCATTCTGACACTCTTGTGGGTTCTCATTTGAATTGATCCCATTAAGCAAATTTTGAATGGTGCAAGATTTCTCTGACCTGTTTTTCTCCTTTTTTTTTTAAGGTGATGGACAGAATTTGTTTACAAAAGACGTGACAGTGATTGAGGGAGAAGTTGCAACCATCAGCTGCCAAGTCAATAAGAGCGACGACTCTGTGATTCAACTGCTGAATCCCAACAGGCAGACCATTTATTTCAGGGACTTCCGGCGTAAGTTTCCTCTTATAGTAGTAGATGGCAACTTTTTTTTTTCCCTCTCCATGTTGTCTTGATAAAGAGATTGCCAAGGTCTCCTTTTTTAAATTTAATGTTAGATGCTTAAAGTTTAGTCAATTCTTCAGAAGGAAGAAGAGACATGCAATCATAATCTTTCCACTTAATAGAAACCTTGAATGGTCTCTTTTAAAAGTAAGGCAGTCTTACTTTGCAATAGGAATTGATTGTAGTAATTCAAGGTGAATTGCAATTGAGTCCCAAATACTTAGCTGACACAAACAACTCAAATGGGGGAAGGCAAGGAAAATAAAACATTCTGAAAGGTAATCTGTTTGGTTTGGAGATTGAAGTTTCCAAGGCAGTCTGTGCCTGCAGAGACCACCGGAGCTCTTGTCACCATCGCCTCTGGCACAGCCGAGTGTGTCCCTCTGCTGAAATCTTTGTGATTGTCACAACAAGCAGTAATCAGAACTTCATTGTCTATCATAGAAATGATGGAAATCGGTGCCTAACCCAAGTAGGTGTCCCTTTCCCGTCTGCTTGTCCCCACTTCCCCAGGGACCTCAGAATACCCATGACCTGTGGAAAGAGAGGAAAACTCCAAGGCATATTTAAGAGGATGAAGCAGGGTCAAAGGGAAGAAGCCAGCTCCTCGTTATCGGAGTGTATTTTTGTCATTATTTACTAGCCTAGCGTGTGTCAAAATAAATGGAAGGACTGCAGTAAATATTTGAAGTCAGCGGAAAGCCCGCAGGCATTACTTTTGGGGTGACTCTAATTTCCTACTTTATGCCTCATCAGTTCCATGCTCTGAGGCCAAGTGTAGCTGGGAATGGCAAGGCCTAGGAAGTCCTCGTCAGGAGCCGTGCGCCACTCCACCTCAACTCGCATCCAGTGCAGAGTTCAACTGGATGTCTTTGCTACAGTTATTTTTCAGTTTTCATTTTGCTTTTGAAATGACTAATAATGACTTTCCGATTTTCTCTGCTAATTTGGAACGACTTTTTTTGAACCTTTGGATTTCAGGAGCAATTTAAAAACCTATATAGGTCTTATTCCCTGAACTTCCTGTGCCCCAAGGGGGTTTGGGACCTGGTTTCATTGTATCTGTCTCTGGCAGAAAATCTGAAAAACAATTTCTGTCCAAGGGCTGACAGCATTTGGACTTGTGACTGTGTGTGTGTGTGTGTGTGTGTGTTTACCCCTGTGTATGACAGGGTGATTTGTCGCCAAGCAGTTACTACAGAGGCCCAAAATTGTACTTGAAGGGTACAAAGAAGTTCCCAACAGGTGCAGAAAGACTTGATCAATCTTTCCTCTCAGAAGCCACCACCTCTCTCATCCCCCGACTTCCCTCCCCTAGATAAGGAAAGTAGAACATTGCGATTCTTCTCATAGCCACTAACTCTGTGTTTCACAGCTTTGAAGGACAGCAGGTTTCAGTTGCTGAATTTTTCTAGCAGCGAACTCAAAGTGTCATTGACAAATGTCTCCATTTCTGATGAAGGAAGATACTTTTGCCAGCTCTACACTGACCCCCCCCAGGAAAGTTACACCACAATCACAGTGCTGGGTAAGAAGTATGCGGGGGCTTGTCCTGGGGGAGGGGCGCCGTGGTATGATTTACTGCTCAAATTTGTTCTAGGACGAATCACCGCCCATCTTGCTAAATTTTAAAAATAGCCTATTTTGCCAAACACTCTAAGGAATGGCAATCAGCAGTCTTTATAGATTCCACCTGTTCTTGGGTTTCAACCCGCAAGCTTCAGAAGCAAAGATCAAGAGAATTTAGAGCCCTCAAATGAATCACTCACCACATGAAATGTCACTCCTCCTAACTACTGGGAGTTTTCCCTTCTGTGCAGGAGAGGGGAGCTCAGCTTTCCACATCTGTACCCTGTGGCAGAGTCTCTGATGAAATCCGCTTAATGATTTTTTCCTTCTGAGTTACATCTCGTTTAATATTGCTGATCTCTCTTTCTTTGGCTCCACTTATCGGCTTGTTTATTGCTTATACTCTCGATTATGCTGCAAAAATCCCATCTCTTGAACACACACTTTGCCACAAATTGCCGCCGTTGGACGTAAGAGAATTAGAGCTGCTTCGAGGTAGAGAAGGCTGATAATAAACAAGACTCTTGACAGGCTGCTGGGTCCACCTCTGGTCAGTTGAGTGTCTTCATTTATGACCGCCAGGTTGTGATTTTCAGCCAGCTCCTCACAGCTAGGTCTGTTTATGGAGTCAGCAGATTAGTCATGTGTTGCAGGTGGCCTAAATTAGCTACCTTTTGGACAAACATACTCCAGGTTTCACTCGTGGATTTGGATTTTTGAACCTGAATTTTCAAGGACGTACACTGTAGCAGCAGGCGAGATCTCTGATTTACACCTTTGGAGAGATAATGAATCAAAGTCTAGTTGAGGCGGCAGACTGCAGCTTTTCAGTGTAATGATATGAAGATTAAAGAGGAAAGATAAATATGAAGGACGTTTTTGCTTGGTGCATGAACATATATGTATTTGTGGATGTACATATCAAGCTGCTGCCTCATTACGCTATTTAAACACAGATGTAAGACAGAAAATATTTTTTTAATTCATTAAAACATGTCCTTAATACTTAGATATATGTTGTTGATAAAGGAAAGTCTGATTGGGCCCTCCCTGGTGGTGCAAGGGATTAAAGCACAGAACTATGAAGGTAGCGGCAGCCACTGCAGCATGAGTTCATTCCCCGGCCAGGGAGGTGACTGACATGGCACAGCCGACCTCTCCTGTCTGTGTTTAATGCTGATCACCTTTAGGTGACGCGTTCATCTCTAACTGCCACTGACCTGACATTACTTACTGGAGTAAGTCCTTAGCTGCATGGACCCCACACTGACCTTTCACCTCCTGGTCCACCACCTTGTCACCTTCCCACAACAGTGATATCGCACCTACACACAGCATTTTGGATTTTCAGAGTGTTTTACTACAAACGCTTTAGTGTGCATATCTTTATTGGACAGAAAAGGAGGGCCATCGCAGAAGGCTGTCATCATGCCTATGTTACAGAGCACACAGTGTGAATCAAGGATCACAGATCTCGCTGTGCTGTCTCACCACCTGTGCATCCTCCAGTCCTGGTGCTTTTCCGTTATACCTTGTATCCTGCTGTTTCAGGATTTTTTTCCTCTGAAGACATGCACCTTTTGTGTTCAGGATTATTTCTGGCCATTGGCAACCAGATACTTCTGGTCAGGTTTCTGATGTCTGGTAGTGTTGTTTCCTGAATCCTTGGAGTGGGCCAGTGTGAATCTACCCAGTGCTTGGCAGTCAGCGTGACAGCCCTAGACTTTTGAGAGGCAATATTCCTATAATCCTTTTGGAGGTCTGATTATTCTAGAAGTAATAGATTCCTGCCTGTATTGTATAGAAGCATTAACTTAAATATACTTGAAAGTCATGCTAGTAGGCACTCTCTTTCTGCAGATATTATGTATTCATTTAATATTCGTTCCATCGAATTTACTCTAGGATTCCTTGACAGAGTAAAATTGTTGTCATCAGTGTTTGAGTCTTTCAGATTCCAGAATTTCACAATTTCCACTGATACTCAGATATTCAAACCTTTTTCCTAGGGTTTAGAGTTTTCCAATACTATAACAAATGAAGAACGATTTATTAGCATTAACTACTTCCTTTCTATCTGCCGTTCTGTGAAAAGAACTTCATTTGTACTTAGACAGCTGTCAAACATCTTGATAGGTTGAAGATGCTCATTTTAGTACATGTGTCTATCAGTTGTTTGAGGCATTCAGTGAAAAATTCAGCATAATGATGAGACATAGAGATGGGTCTTTGTTAGTTACTGTTATATTATCTTACCCATGTATAAGTCGAGGACTCGCCTATAATATTTTTGCATGCATTTGGTCCCTTTTAGGATATTCCTTCCTCCCTCCCTTCCAGTTGTGATGAGTTTTTTTCTTTCTCCGGATCCCAGTGTAGGACTCTCCTTAACACTGCTATTCATGAGCAGAGATGAATGAGGGAACACACTCCTTTAAGATTAATGTAGTTACTGCTAATAGTAGTTAATATTATTACAGCCTTGTCCTTCGAAAATTAGTGTTCACTCTTAAGATTCCAGGAACAGGGGAACCTAATTATTTTAAAGGGTCTAAGCGTAAGGTTTCACGTACTGATCAGCTTTAAGACTCCTCTTTTGTTGTAATTAACATGACTCATCTTGATAGTGCTGATTTTTTTTTTTTAATGTTGTAGGCGTAACATTTATAATTAGCACTCACAGAGTTAAGGTTAGCTAAGAAGAACCTTTACATTTCTTTGCTGTTTTCTAGGATTTCCCTCTGTGATTTTTCAGTCGGGTCTTCATCTGTATACACCTCCTTAGGTATATCTTTGGTTATTTTCATTAATGGCTCAGATAGTTTTCACTAATGTGTCTTATTAGTTGTCATTATTACTATCAGTAATAATGGACCATACAGAAGTGTGTTCTCTGGTTAGTGAAAGTTTTAATTCATTTTTACTTTTAATGGACTTTTATACTTTCTTTACTAATCTCCTTTGTATTAAAGTAGATATGAGGTTAAAGATGAAAAAGGGTAGAATTATTAGACCAAAGTAAACTTGAAGATTTTCTTGCCCTGCCACCCCCTTTTCCAGATAGCCTTAAGTCACCTCCTTTATATTTTTCTAAGCTTTCTCACTTTAAAACAACATCTGAGAGAAGTCAGCTTTATAAGTGATATCAACCATTATGACTCACATTCAGATTTATTTTATATTTGCAAACCAAACAACTCCCACTCTTGACTGCTGCGTCTTCTAATCTTGGCAAAAATCAGAATCACTGTTCACAATCTTGAGAAAACTGTGGACTTGGGGGGAAAAAAACACAACTATTTCTCAGGATGCTCTTCTTGGCAGTAAACAATTCCTTTATGTTTCTACACTGCTCATATTTCCCAGCATCCTGAGGTTTTCTCCGTGGTCACCTTGGCCATAAAGTTAAAGGTGATTATCCCAGGAGTTGGCATTGGTAGAGCAGTCCTTCGCCAAGGTGAGGAAACTTCAGGCGGTGCTACCTGTTCCGATAGCGCGAAGAATGAACACGGACTCTGACAAACCACAGGTCACTCAGATCAGTACCTGTTTGCTGCCAGTCACGCCCTCAGCCCCCAAACCAAAGCTAAGGGACACTGATACATTTCCCCCCCAGCCTTACTTATAGTTACCCCGCTCCCTGTTATTACTTTGTACCAGCAGACATTATCGATAATGCGCAAAGAATACACCCTCGTTGGTGTGACCATCTCATCTCCACCATAACAGTGTGAACAAACACTTCTTCCCCTAAGAAAAGCCACTGAGGAGGAACAGCTGTTGATGGTTAGGAGCAGTCCATGAAGAGAAAGGCAAAGTGTCTTCAGACTCAGCATGAACAAGGAGAGAATGAAGGAGAGAGATCCAGGGCGACATGGAAAACAAATACCTGACAGAGGTTGTGTTGTAGCTAAATGCCATAGAGACTTGGCAGTGATCCATACCTTTTTACTGCTCCTGGGTCTGCTCATGGAGCAGATTCCCAGGGTGCCACAGAATAACCATCAAGGCATTTCCTCAGACTGACCACGCAAGCCGTACTTTGGTCTACTCCACTCCGTAGTAACTTTTTTTTTTTGGTGGGGGGGGGAGGGGTGCTGTGTGTATTCAGTGTCTTTGGCAACCTGCCGTCTTTGTCCTGTCCTGACAGTCTCCATCATTAACTGGAGTTCCCCCATAGCCAATTTGAATACCCTTCAACAGTTCCATTTCTCATGGGGAATCCTTGCCAGTGCAACATCAGAAATTATTTTCATCACTATTTTAATTTTTGCTGGACCTCGAAAGAGATTATTACTTGACCTTCAATCCTACTTTGACTAGGAGGACAAATGTTTCCATTCCACCGCCCCCTTCTGTTTCTCATCACTCACCAGGATCTTACTTTCTTAGGGTCAGACAGTCTTTTCTTCCAACATTTGCTCTCCCAACAGCATGAGTTCAATATTCCTATTCAGTGTTCCTACCACACTCGGAGTCAGTTGTCTGTGTTGCCCTGAAACCTGGCGTCCCCTATCGGCCATCTGGCTGCCATGATGAAAATCTCTAATTTCCCGAGTGTACTCTAGCGCAGATAAACTATCTTCAGGAAGGAGCTCGCCGACGTCGTCCTGTTCACTTTTGTCACTGCCTTTCCGTGTCTCTTCAGATGCTGGCAGAGGTGCAGCCCCACATTGGATGTTAGACTCTCTCTTTAGGCTTATTTTTTCTTAAAGTGTAAGCTAGGGTAGTTCTTTGCCATGTTTAACTACTCACTTGGGCCATATCACTTTAGCAACACATTCAGTTGAGCAGCTGTGGCGTTCGCCTTTGCGTCGGCGAACAAAGCAGCCATCTGCTTTTGCTCCAGTCCAGCCCGCCCCACCCCCAGCTCAGTGGCTTGCTGAGAGACCTATGCAACAAATCATTTTCCTTTTCCATCACTGTCTGTACGAATTTTCAACTGCTCCAATTATGTGTAAAAGTCTTCCTGATGGCAGAATTTTCCCATTGAACTAGAACTAGTTGGAAACCCCAAATATGTGGTTTTAATCCCATAACTTATTGAAGCTGTATCAGAGATTTATTATTCAACTTGATCATCAGAATGGCATGTTGCTAAATATTTAATTTCTTGTTTCTCTTCTGAGTTGAGAAACTTATTAATCATGAGTCTCAGAACTGTCTTTGCTTATTCATGGTGGTCAGGGCGTATATTCTCAGCTTCACTCTGCTGAATTCAGTATTCTTACTGATTTTTATTTCAAGGAGTCTCAGGGTAAGGTTACACCTTCCATGAAATCCCCGTGGTCAGCTCAGTTTCACAAAAGATAACATACTCTCTCTGTCATCATCCTCATCATTTGTAATTTGGCATTTCAGCCCCAAAATACTTTATTCTTACTATCTTATTATATGTATATTTAATATGTTTAGAAAAGGGTGGTTTTAATTCTGGTCTAGAAACTTCCATGCAAGTTCTTGATAATAATTTTCACCATCTTGAGCATCAGAGCTTGCCTGTGGAAAATTGCTGTAAATTAAGTGGCATGTTATTTCATCATCGTATCTAAAGGGTTTTGTTAGTGCACCATCCACAGAGGTCATGAGTCTGTTCTGGATCTCTGGGTCATTTTATATTGAATGGAACTTGTTCTGAGGCTCCATTTTCTGTGTGTGTTTATGGTGAGTGATTCTTTTAAGGGACTCCAAGTTTTTGATCTTTGCTCCTTGACCTTGGAATCTTTCATAGGAAGATTTGAAATCGAAGGGTTGAGTTCAATGAGAAATACTCCTCTCAGTGACTTCCAGAGTATGGACTCTTCTACCCTTGTATTTCCTTTCCGGTCAGTTTTTTAACAGCTGACTGATATCTTAGAGTGTGATACCAGTCATTATATAGAATAACTTTCGGAGAAAAAGTCCAAATTAAGTTATTGTTGCATAATTGACTTGATTCGATGCTGCGTTTGTCTCTTTTGTTCCTTCTGGCGACAGTTTGTTTTCAATCAGCAATGTCCAGTGTTTGTCTCCCTCTTGATAATGCTAGTTTCTTATGACTGGAGAGGCATGTACAGAAAGAAGTAGATCTGTGGTTAAAAGCACACGTGTTTAATTTACAGTGCCACCCCGCAATCTGATGATCGATATCCAGAAAGACACTGCGGTGGAAGGTGAAGAGATCGAGGTCAACTGCACTGCCATGGCCAGCAAGCCAGCCACGACCATCAGGTGGTTCAAAGGGAACAAGGAGCTGAAAGGTAAGATGCAGATCGCCCTGCACAGGAGTCCCCACCGGTCCCCAATTCTACGGGGCATGCCTTTGTAGGTGACTGCTAGACACGCCCCTGAAACAGAAAAATCTGCTTAGACATGATTTATTAAATTATAACCGTCCGAGGGCAGAGCATACCGTTTTATCCTTCTAATTCATGCCCTTTTTCTCTGGTTTGAGGGTTCATGGCTGTTTCTGTGTTGCTGGATTGTCACACAGATGTTCAGGAAGAAACTAGACCTAAAAGCTAGATGTCCTCAGGCCAGGAGGAGCTGCCAGGGGAGTCCCTGGCTCAGGCTGTCCGTGTGTAGCCTCAGTTCTTCGTGCTTGTAGCCATGACCCATGGTGGCTGAGAACTCCAAATTCTCTTATTGTGTATCGAGGAAATAACAAACCATCTCTGCCTTGCCGAATCGCAGGCATTCTGACTCTGCTGTCTCTACCGTGCGGGCCACTTGTATTGACTGTGCTTTCCTACAAGGACAGTTCTATGTGGACCGAGAATTTTAACTGTGAATTTTAGGGACCACCTTTTCCCGTGAGACCTGTCAGGCAGTTGCTGTTTCACCACCCTGTTTTTCTGCAAAGTTCTGGTTTTGTGGTGCCTACACAAGCAGCTCGTTTAACCCTTCTCCATCATTTCTCCCTCAGTGCTGGGCCCTCCCAGGTTTGATTCCTGGATACCCAAATACGGGCCACCATTAGCTGTTGCATTGGTTAAAACATCAGCCTTTACCCAATGGAACCTTTTTGTCACTTACCCCAAGAGCTCGTGTACAGCAGAGTTCTGACTTCTTCCGTGTTAAGGTTGCCTTGACAGTGGCTCTCTGGACAAAGGCACTGAAGCTGAACTCCTGTGGCCGTTGGACAGAAATGCTAGCGGTGTGCCTCCATTTCCTCTAAAATGGGCGTATTGACCTTCTATGCTCTGTGGTAGTCTTAAGAGATGAAGTAGGGACTGTTGGTAAAGCATATAGCTAGTCCTTGGGCCAAGGTAAGAGTTCTATATGTTTCCGTCGAATGAAGAGAATTCCAGGAAGAACAGAACAAGTCCTTTCAGAAAGGGGGTGTTAAAGCCTATATCTAGAAACACTTAAATCTATATATAACAGCTTAAGTTTCAAAAAGCTTGCTCTGTTTCAGTCTATTTCCTACGTATAGTTTTGGAAGGAAGGAGTTTCTCATTTCCCCTCTCCTTTTCTGTCCAAGTGAATTGAGCCATTAAATGTGTACTGATAAATACAAAACCTTAAAAGAAAGTTCCTGGTGCACCGTGTCCCAGGGAGTGCTGCGTTCGGGAAAGGGGCCGCTTTAGCCTATTCATTCATCCGGAAGCCTCCCCCTCCTCTTCTGGGTGTTCTTGGATGTGTCTCCCATCTGGCCTACAGCCTGTGTCTTACTTGCTCTACCCACTGCCACTGCAGTTTTTTTTGTGGTCTTCCAATATTCTCAGAGTTTAAACATTTCAATCACCATTTCAATTATGTAAATCCATTTACTTTCCCTCTTAATTGTTGCTAATGGGGGTGGGCGAAGGGGGCCATTGACATCTCCTACCGATTGAATGACTTCGGGGTTTTGGATAAGGGCCTGGAATTTCTGCACCACATGGCAGCCTGGTAGACGCTTCCAGTTCAGATGGCTGTAGGGGTGACCGGCCTTTTCCTTTCCTCCTGAATGCCTAGAACAGTCAGGTGGCAAAATGTTTCAGCTTTCAGCTCTCGCTGTGTGGGAGGTTTTAGGGTAGAAGGGCTGTGCATAGTATATTTAAATAAAGATCATATACATTATGTGGGATTGTTTTTAATGTTAAGTACTATCCTGCAAGTAGGAAATTACTAGTTCTTCAAATATCTACCCATAGATTACCCTCATCCCCAGTGATTGCCATCACATTTGTTAAAATAGCAGTGGACTCTCCCTGGTGGCACAATAGGTTAAAGCACCGCATTATCAAGCTCTCCGAAGCCACTGCAGCATGAGTTCGATCCCCAGCCAGGGAGGTGACCCGCATGACACGGCAGCCCTCTCCTGACCCGCCTGCTGAGCCCTTCAGCACTGTACTTTGTCAGTCTGCCTATTCTGTGCCCCACTGTCTCTGGTGAATCCTCTCACCCACCACACCTCTGGTCTGTACCCCAGTTCTGTAAGCATAAATAAATAAATCTTAAAAAAAAAAAAAAGCAGTGCTGAACTTGGTGGAAAAAAATTCACTGGTTACCAGTGAGAACAGGAGTTGGGGGGGGGGGGGCAGAGGGAGAAGGGGAGTAGATGGTCTATTGGCACAATGGTTTGACAGAGCCTGCACTGAGCATGTGCAGGGGTGGAGAAGCAAACATGGAACCAAAATTAACGTATCAAACCATAACTGTTTAATGTAAATAACTAGCATTTTGTTTTACTAGCAGCACTGGGACGGGGGCAGGCATGAAAACTGTGTGAGCAATTCACTCATCGGCCGTTTCTGGCTACACTGTGCCCGCAGGCAAGTCGGAGGTGGAGGAGTGGTCAGACATGTACACTGTGACTAGTCAGCTGATGCTCAAGGTGAACAAGGAAGACGATGGGGTCCCGGTGATCTGCCAGGTGGAGCACCCTGCCGTCACCGGAAACTTGCAGACCCAGCGGTACCTAGAAGTACAGTGTGAGTACCTGTCTGCGTCCATCCCGGAAACTGTAACAGAACACCACACTTTAAGTAGCATATGAGGCAGAAATTTCTTTCTCACAGTTCCGGAGTCTGAAAAGTTGAGGATCCACTTGGTCAGAGCCCAGTGAAGCCCTTCTTGGTTCACAGCCAGTGATGTCCGTCTGTGTCCTGACATGGCAGAAGCAGCGAGAGAGCTCTCTGGAGCGCATTTTAGAGGAGCACACAGGGGGCCCCACCTTCAGAAACGCCGACCCACCTGACACCATCCTCTCAGGGATTAGTGTCTCAAGAAATGGCTTAGGGGGAGACACACCTGTCCAAACCTTAACAGTATTTTATTGAGGGCATATTGTAGCAGTTGCTTAAAAACACTTCCGAAGCCATTTATTGAATACATACGTTTTCTATAATAGAGAATTTTTATCTTGTTGTCTTGGTAGAAAAGTAATCAAAGGATTATTTTCCTGAAACATTGCCATATTACAGAGTGCCAATGAGGATTTTGAAAGTACTGCATTTAACCTAAATGTAAACCTTTAAAATGATTCCAATCTGCTCTCGCTCACAACTTAATTAAATTTGGTGAATATCGACTATAAAGATTTCTGTGCCAATTTCAGAATCTAGGGTAATTTCTCCCATTTTTTTAACCCCATCGTAAGGACTGATTTTTAATCGAAGGGTTTTTATTCCTTTTATTCAGCAGCAGTACTTTGTTTTAAAGTTCACATTCTCTTCCATTTTTGGCTTGAATTATAAGAACGAGTTTGGAAATGGAGCTCTTCAGGCTCAGAGCTACACATATTGTGATTTCCCCATTAAAATTAAGATACTATTGAGTGACGTCTCCTTGCTGTGCCCCATGGACCAATAACTCTCTCAGATTCTCTTCTGGATTCTTCTACTTGGGAGAAAATACCTGTTTTCTCCAGAAACCCCTCCTTGCACCAAGGAAGCTAGCTGCTGACTTTCCACCAACAGGCTTCTCTGAAGCGCCCTAGGGTTGAGTGGGCTGGCATTGAGGGGTTTGATCACAATGGCAACGACTGGGTGTCTGGAAGGTGGAGCGCAGCCTCACTGAACCCTTGGATTTATTTCCATAGGGCTCCTTTAATAGATGAACACAGAGTTGGTGGCTTAAACTAACAAGAAGTAATCGTTTCAGAGTTTGGAAGCCAGTTCTGAAATCAAGGTGTCGGTAGAGCTACCCTCTGCAGAGACTAGGAGAGAGCTTTCCTTGCCCTTTCTGGTTTCTGGAGGCTCCAGACTTCCCTAGGCCTGTACCAAGTCACTCCAATCTCTGCGTCTGTCTTGCCATCACCTTCGCTTCTTTTCTATGTGTCTTTTATCTGGTCATTTGTCATTGGACTGTGGGCGCTCCCATATTATTGAAAATAGTCTCTTTTCAAGACCCTTAATACATCTGCAAAGACCCTTTCCCAAGTCAGGTCACATCCATATGTTCCAGGGGTGTGGAAGTGTATTTGTCTTTGGGGAGACACATTTCACTGCGACCTTTTGGTGTTTGTTTAAATTGCCAGAGCAAAATAGGGGGTAAGATAAGTTGCTTTTGATGGCTCCCAGGAATTTAGCAACAATCAAGTGTAGAAAGTGGGTTTTAAGAGACCATCACATCCCACCCCTCCCTTTACTGTGTGAGCTGGGCTCAATTTAACATTACATAATGCAGGTTTTTCTTGTTAATTCATTTCCCCTACTTCATTATGTAGCTTCATTATGGGCATCATGCTTATAATTTTCATATCACTAAAACTATTGTGGTGTAATGTCCCTATAATGGGAAAACAGAAATGATCAGATATTATCTAAATTGGCAGATAGTAGATTTCTTGTGACTTGGTTAATATGTAATTCATTTAAGCAAACTTAATATCCATTAACTTCCCTTGTAGGGGCCCATTAGCTTTAATAATACATTAGCTCCTTTGTGAGACCTGAGTAGATATTCACCCATTTCCCACCCCTAAACTTTTTTAGTAGTTTCCTAGAGTAGCTTCTAAATAGAATAAAACCTCACCCACCTACAAAATTCCATTTGCTCCCAAATGCAAACTCCTGCAGGCACTATCCCTCCTACCCTTCCTCCAGCCCCATGCCTGAGTTTATTTGACATCAGTCTAGGGATGTCCTGCTAATGCTTAACTCCAGGCAGCTGACTCCGAAAAATGAAGATTCGTCTACTGATCATTTTAAACTCCAACATGACACCTTTTTTATGGGAGGCTATTCTTTTATTCTTTTATTTGACATAAGCCACACATTTTATCCTTGATACTCCTGTTCTTGGAATGGATGAAAGGAAAGAACTCTTTTTGTAGAAAAGGTTGAGAATCACAAAGTGTTGTGTTCGTCCAAATGGGAATTTAGAGTCTGGTTTGGCACCATAACGAAGGTACTGTTTGCTCAGTGAGTCACCTGCTAGTTCGCTACCTTCCCTTCCTTGAGCACCACCAAGAACTTGGCGAGTCAGCCAGGAATTCCTTCTTCAAACATGACTGGAATCCTCTCCATCATTTCCTGCCACCTTTATCCTCCTTGAATACCAGCAGCCCTCTGTCTAGTGCCTCATGCCTCAGAGGCTGAAGACCCTCAGTCACAGAGTGCTACAGATTAATTTGTCTCCAGCCAAAAGTGTTGGTGGTGGTTCAGCCTGTCCCCCCACCGCACTCCCAGAAGTCCTTTCTCTGCCTCTCTCAAAGCACCTGAGCTGATGGTCTTCAGAAAAGAGATACTTGAATGTATGAGATGCAGTAGCCAGTCTTCATGGGGGTAGAGCTCTAGGATACCCTGTGAGAGGTAGCATTAGCCCCTTATTATTTAACTGGTTCAAACTCTGGTAGTCAGTATTTATTTCTTAGCCTTCTTGAAAGAGTCTTTAAGACTCTTTCTCTAGCTCTAGACCTGGGAAAGACAAACAAAATCGCATTTCTCCCCCCTTTGCCTGCAATTTAAGGAGACCATTTTCCCTACAGCATTTTCCTAACTTGTGTTATTTGAGGGTCATAGTCCCCCATGTTTTACCACATCTACAGGTCATCTGTATTCTTACCTCATTGAGAATTGTCCTTTGTGTCGATTTATTGCTTTTACCTAGCCTAGACCTATGGAAAATATTCTGTAGAATTAATTTCACTTGCTATGTCTATTGTATCTAATGAACACTGCAATACATATACAGCTGTTATTTTTCATGTCCTTTGTCCCCTCAAAAGATTTCTTAGACTCTTCGTGATCCACATAGCTTATCACCAGGGAATCCTAAACTCAACCAAGGAGCTTAGATGAAGAATTGCTCTACTCTGCTTCAATAAACCTACCTTAGAGGCAAATCTAACCTGATGGGTTTAGTATTAAGTATACTCACTTGCTCCAACCCTGACCTGTTGTGTGCCATGAGGCTTATGGAAGCCTCTCTCTACCTTCTCTGAGACAAATGGATATTAATCAGGATATGAAGTGAGTTAAATGAGAGATAATGGATCGGAATTTCATAGAAGCTCTGTCTTCTTAAAAAGCAGTATTTTTAGAAAAGGAAATGAAAACTACACCTTAAGCCATTAAATATCATACTTTACAAGGATGACCGGAACAAGGAAGAGGTATAGCCTGAAATGGAGCACAGCCACTTGGCTTGCAAGACAAGGCTTAAGCTACCACTCAGAATTGCTTTTGTCTTGTGGACTTAAGTCCTAATTAACTGAACACGGAATTTTGCAGTGTTTGTTAGTACCCTTATTTGTGGTACGAAGAGAAATTGTTACAACCAATTATGTGAAAAATCAGCCAGATGTGGATGCTGTCATACTTTTAATAATCCTTAAGGTTTTTTGTTGTTGTTGTTTGTTTGTTTGTTTTGGTGAGTACAGATATTAATTGTGTAGTACGCATTGAAGTGATTAACTTCAATGTAATTTATCATCTGGAGATTTCTGAACATAAATAAATGAGTTGTTTTGTTCAGCAAGGTGTTGACCCCTTCAGAATTAGTGAATTAAAGCCCCCCTTTTTTGCCATAAATATGAAAGGGACCACAATCAGCCAAGTGTTCAGTTATTTGATTTTCTGGGGCATTAGCCGCTCTTGTTTGTGACATTTCCCTGTTGGGTGCTCGTTTGCAAGCTCATTAATAAGGTTTTCTCATAGGAACGTTGCTGGGAACGGAGAACATGCAGTCGGCTCTTGGTTTTCTAGCTTTCATTCTGGTACTCAGCAAGAATACAGCAGCCACATGCAGTTAAATGTTTAAAACAGAAAATAATTATACTCGCGAGCTGCCATTCAAAGCTCTCTTTCCTTAGATGTTAGGCAGCGAACAGTTTTGCTTTTTCATGTTCTGAGCTATGTGACCCCAAATTCTTTCCCGTGCATTTTTCTCCTGCAAATATCCATGAGTTGCCCAAATTTTCAACGTGGTTGATTATAGTAGAAGGTGATACAATTGGCGCGTGGTTAGTGGCGCTTCAGATCTAAGGGAACATACTCTTGTCAAATAAAAGCCTGTTTAAATGAGAACAGTTCACTGTCTGAGCATTAAAAGGAAACTGTCTAAATAGCATCAAGGTGGCAACACGTAGCGACATAAGCTGGGAATTCAAAGAAAAGCTGCGACCCTCAGTGTGGAATTCAGATTGCTGTGCAGAGGGAGAGCCTTCCTCTGGACTGAGGTGAATCTGAAGCTCCAGAATTACTGCTGTGTGTCTTTTACTTTCCCCCATCACAGCCTGGCTCTTTAAAATGTGTTGCAAAAGTCCTTATTTTGTGAGGGCTTGCTGTGTGTGCATACTGATAAAAAAAAAAAAAAAAGGTAGTGGGGAGGGGAGAAATTTAAGAGATGAGTTTTGAAAGAGAATGAAAACAAAGACTCTAGAGGAAGGTGTTTAAATGCTTTCCCTGCTCTGATTATCATCTGACAGTTAATCATGAATGGGGCATCATTGTCAAAATGAGTTTTATTGACTTGATAGAGCCAGGTA